ATGAGCCTTTGTGCGCGCTCAGGAGAGGTGTGCTCGCTCAGAGGGAGAGAGCCAGGGCCAGTCGCCATTCCTTATGGGGGGAGGGGGGGGGCGCGCACCCGACTTCATGCGAACGAAAATCTTGTTGACCCCGAAGGGGAGCACCGCCGGGACGAGGGATGTCGAGCTTGGCGGCGGTGGCGGTGTTGGCGGAGTCGATGGAGGCGACGGCGGCGGCGGCGGCGACGGCGGCGGCGACGGCGGAGGCGACGGCGGAGGCGGCGACGGCGCCGATGAGGTGGAGGGCGGCGGCGGCGTGGGTGGCGGAGGTGAAGGCGGAGGCGACGGCGGCGGCGGTGGCGACGGCGGCGGTGGCGACGGCAGAAGCGAGGGCGGCGGCGGCGTGGGTGGCGGAGGTGAAGGCGGCGGCGGCGACGGCGGCGGCGGCGACGGCGCCGGAGGCGAGGGCGGCGGACTGGGCGGCGGCGGCGACGGCGGCGGTGGCGACGGCGGCGGTGGCGACGGCGGCGGCGGCGGCGGCGGCGGCGGCGACGGCGGCGGCGGGTGATACAACACTCTACGGGTGTAGGTGGCGAAGAGGAAGTTCCGGCCCGAGTCGTAGCCGTTGACTCCTGGCCCGACGGTGTACATGAGGTAGAAGTTCGACGTGTTCTTGTACTGGAAGCAGGCGAACTTCGGCATCGTCCAGCGGAAGGGCATGTACCAGAGCTCACTCTCGGGCGTGGTGCCGTCGTTGTTGGGCGCGGCATCGGGGTCCAGCCGGTCCGAGGTCCCCGACGACTCGTTGTAGATGCCCGACGCATTGTACTTCTCGCCTGGGGTGCACTCGATGTACTCGAACGGGTTGCCGTTGTTGGACACACCCGCGACCCAGGCGGAGTTGACGGTCTGCCGGAACTTGTTCCTGTGGTACCTTATGGTCTCGTCTGGGTGGTTAGCTTGGTCGGGATTCGGCACCTTGTTGCACGCGTTGCTCGTGTCGAGCAAGCCTTTTGCAGGCGATTGCCCAGGTATGGCCAGCTGAGGAGGAGGAGGAGGAGGGGGGGCGCAAGCGGTCAGCGGAGTGGCGTTGGGGCTGGTCGGATGGGGCGGGGGGGGGGGTCCGCCACCTCGCCGACATTTTCGTAGCGGACCACCTTCTTCTCGGGCGGCGAGTCAAAGTCGATGCAGTCTGCGCGCGGGGCGGCGGAGCAGCTGTGTGCTGCTGCAGAGAGACCGCTGCCTCAATTTCCGTTGGCCGCTCAGGAGAAACAAGCGCGCTAGCACCGGCCCATTATCCGCTCGCCGCGCTGTGCGGGAGAGGGGCAGCTGGGAGAGGCGCACCGCAGTTGTTGAGGTCGATGTAGAACTCATTGCTTGCGCCATTTGTGTAGATGAAAGGCCCCGTAATGCTCGACCACTCTGGCCAGCTGCCTGGCGCGTCTGGGTATTTTTCGGTGCCGTCTGGGTACTTGTAGTTGTCGAATGGTTCGGAGAGTATGCCAATGCCGCAACGATCCGATCCGATCCCAAACGCCTGGAGGCGGCGGTGATGTGCGGGAGGAGTGCGGGAGGAGGGGGAGGCGGAAGTGGCGGTGGTGTGGGACGGGTGGAAGGTAGCGTCTTATCGGGAGGCGCTTATGTGGGAGATCAGGGGGACAGTCGGCAAGGAGGCGGACGGCGACAGCGAGGGTGTTGGGGGGCGCTGGCACCGAATCACTTGAGCAGCCAGCGACGGCGTCGCTTCCAGGGAAGCCGGCCATGTTGTTGACGATCTCGGTGGAGAAGTCAAATTCGAGTCTCAAGCCATCCTCGCGATCAGCGCTCGGCCGTCGTCGCTCCGAGTGCGCACCGGCCGAGAGGCCGATTGCCGACAGCAGCATGGCGGCGTGCACCCTCGATTCCATGTTGTTCCGCCGGCCATCCTCAGGATGGAATTAGGCGGGCGGCTTCGTTTTCTTTTTACCTACCTCCGGCGAAGGGCCCGCCGGGGATCCAGTTTCCACTCCTCTGTGAGCCTGCCGATCACCTAGCCGCGAATCCCAGCCATCGAGCAGCGGCTAGCCCTAACTCGCACTCATCTGGGTGACGGACAATTCATTGGATGAGCATCAGCGAGCAGAGGTGCGTGTGCTGAATCTAGATCGCACGCCGTGGCATATGACTTGGGTAGGCGTGCGACCGCAGCGCGCCCGCCGAAGGCTCGACGCGGCGCGCGTGTCAGCCAGAAGTTTGCCAGTAGAGCGATCCTGGTCTTTCCGAAGACGAGCCCCGCGCCACGGGTGCCAGCCGTGCCTCCGCGGGAGCCGCCTCTCGAGCCGCGTCCCGCCGGCACTGTCCCTGAGTGCGTCCCGCCTTGGTTGGCGACACGCACTCGACGAGGTCAGTCCAGCCGACGGGAACGTGTCGCGCGCCGGCGACGAATGCGGCGTGGTGGGTGTGGGTACAAAGCGCCGCTTCGACGAAGCGAGGTTGGCAGGCGCCCCTCACGAGTCCGAGTCCCGTGCCCAGTGTTGTGCGAGAGCTTGTAAAATTCTTTTCGACGGTGTACCTGTGTTAGTGCCAGTGCGCGCCAGTCCCGTGCCCAGTGTTGTGCGAGGGAGTTTTGTTGTAAGATTCTTTTCGACGCCAGTTCCAGTTCGCACCTGTGTCGAGCCTGTGTGCTGTGAGAGAGAGTTCTTTTGTTTATATTCTTTTCGACTTCAGGCTCCCAATCAAGGACGCTGCTCCCCTCCCCCTGACCACCTTCGAAGATGGACTCCACGCTGAAAACCGCGCTTCCCAAGATCAATATTCTGGGACCGGACGACGCGGGCTATGACGAGGAACGCATGCGGTGCTGGAACAAAGACGTGATCCATCGGCCGGCAGCAATCGTGCAGCCGACCACGACCGAAGAGGTGAGCCAAGCTGTCAAGGTTGCATCGAGCAAGAAGCTGGACTTGGTCATCGCTTGCGGCCGGCACGGCCATGATTGCATGAAGGAAGGCGCGATGGTGCTGGACCTGGGCAAGATGACCGAAGTCACTGTCGACAAGAAGTCGATGACCGTCACTGTGGGCGGTGTGCAGCTGCCTCACCGCAGCATATGCCCCTCACCTGCACGCACGCATCTTGAGCGCCCGCCCGTCCGCATACCGTCCGCATGCTGTGGGCAGGCGGAGCCCGCCTCGGTGACATGGACAAGGTGTGCCAGCAGCACGGCGTGGCGTGCGTGACCGGCACGAACCC